CCTTCTGCCTTCTAACCTTTGTCCCTGGACTGCTGTGCCTCATTAGTCCCATTTTGTTTTATGGGGCTGTCCAATCCCTGCCTGAATGGTGAACCTCGGGAGTGACTTCACCACTGAGCTAAAAGGGTGTCCAGGGGCCATACTCTTGGGGTTTCTCCAGTCTCTGTAAATCTGGTCTTTTTTTGTGAGTTAGAATTTTGTTCCACATCCTTCTCCAGCTCTGTGCAGAACCCTCTGTTGTGAGCCCACTCAGAGCACGACTGACTAATTTTTTAATCTGTTTTTAGAAGTGATGATTTCATAGACTCTGTTTGATGGGAAGTTTATTTCTTCACTACATATTATTTCTGGATTTAGCAATGAATAATGCACAGTGCATTAGCATTTAAGAAAGACATGAAGATTCTATGCACCTTATTATTATGCTTTCTATGCTCAGCTGCTCTTTGAGGGCTTACTCGGTATATGTATTTTTATGCTATTTTTTCTTTGTTCTTTTCCCTCTTCTCAGGTTAGAATCCCCTACAAGGAGTCTAAGCATGGATGCCCCCAGGGGTGTTCATATTAAAGCCCATGCTGGGAAAATTGAGGCCCTCTCTCAAATGGATATCAAATTTCATAGTAGTGATGGAATGGTAAGCTCAATAGATCAAGCTCCTATTATATGTCTGACACTCATGAATATCATGTCCGTTAAAGTAGCTATACATTAAATTTAGGGTCATTTTTAAAGAAAGTCATGATACATGTAAAGTAGAAAACGTTAAAAGAACACAAAAGAATATTTAGCATTGAAAGAAAGACCGAGAAAAGTTAAAACAACTTTTTTTAGAACCTGACAGCTTTATTTGATTGGTTTTGTGCTATCAAGTCACTTACTAAGTTCAACTTTGAAAAAAACACTACAGAGACTTTGTAGGCCTACAGAGAATATCAGTCTTGCCATTCCCCAGTGATTCAACTTCTTTTAACACAGCTGTCACCATATGGAACCTTCTTTAGTTAAAAAAGGAAAAAAGCTCAATTTCAGTCAGCCAGAAAATTATGCACGCTAGGAATGTTCTTAAAAGCCCTAGAAGAAAATCAGAGTTTTGGTTTATAAGCTGGACTCCAAACATGTGATGCCATATTACAGATTTTTACAAACAATTTATTGCATTTTTTCTTAGCCCACCCCACCCCTAGTTATTTTTATATGTATAAAATGTGCTCAAAATAAGACATTAGCCCATGGATTTTCTTTTAAATGCCTCCAACTTGATAGCGATTTCCAAGGAGTTGAATGGATTGTATTGTTCATACTGCCAGTGCCTGGTGAAATGTGTTGGAATAAATGGATGTGAAAGCCGTGTGTACAATGAGGGGCATAATGAATCCCCATTGCTCCTTCCCCAGCCCCACTCTAGACACATCACACACAGACCCTACACAAAATGAAGAGATTCAGGTGTCCCAACAGATATTTTCCCACAAAGGCAGAGGAAAATAAGCAATAAAGCAGCATGTAAATTACCAGTTGTTAGAGTTTGCTTGACAGGTAGGAAAATAAGTAACTAGGAAAATATTGACCAATTAACCACAAGAAATAGAGGAAAGCAAACAAATTAAAGGCATGTTTAGGGGAAAGCAGGTACCCAAAGAACCCAAAGCATTGGACATTAACCTGAATAGATTCTGCTTTTTAAAAATAATACCATTTGATTTATTTTACTCTGTGTGCAAGACAACATGAGGTAAAACCTTTGTGTGTAATGCTACTAATACCGTCCCACCCACTGCTGTCTATAGCAAGGGGTCAGCATCCCAAGAGGGAATACAGACTGCAAATATCAGTTTAATAAAAGATTGGAATTCATGGATGGGGGTTACATAAAATAAAGTGTCTAACATTATTGGCAAGGAATATGCCAACCCACAACATATTTAATTCTTCTAATAAGCCAGCACACTGGGATGGATAAAGGTTTGGCTACTCACCATGGTGATTCTTATTTCCTTCAGCTATCAAAGAGATTTCCAAGCCTCAACCAATGACCATGTTCTTGTATTTTGGTTTAACTGAATTATAATATGACCAAAAAATCCAGTCCCTCTCATTTTATTTTAATTGGATTTAGGCTATATGTCTACCGCTTTTCAGCATCTAATAGAAGGCAGTGGAGTTTTGTTGTTGTTGTTGTTGTTAGGTGCCATTGAGTTGGTTCTGACTCATAGAGATCCTACATACAACAAAATTAAACACTGCCCAGTCCTGTGCCATCCTCACAACAGTTGCTATGTTTGAGCCACTGTGCCAGTCCATCTGGTGGAGGTCCTTCCTCTTTTTCACTGACCCTCTAGTTTATGACCCTCAACCATTATGTCCTTCTCCAGGGAATGGTCCCTCCTGATAACACATCCAAAGTATGCAAGACAAAGTTTTAAATAATAGTAAAAAGTCAGGGAAATGGTCACTAGCTAACAGGATGAGTCCAATTGCCTTTCATAAGAAAATAAAACTGCAAATAAAAAATCAGGATAAATTCCAACACTCACAGTTAAATATTAGTAAAATGAATATATTTCTGTGGCTTATACTTTTTCCTAATGGGGAGGAAAAGATGAGTTGTATAAAGTCAAATTGGATCACCAGATAGATGTGAATCAGCAAAAGAATTCTATCATTTTTGTCAAGTCTGAAAGGTATTTTTGGGCACGTAACGTATTAGAACTGAAAAGCATCCAGCTTATTGACACACAAACTGAAAGAGCAAAATGTGTTCTCACATTGGTCAGTTTTCCTAGTTGGACTAACACAGTCGGTAAAAGAAAATTTGGCTTTCCTCCAATTTGGAGCACTGATTGCTAAGCACCTGCCTGAATGTAAAATAGAATTAGGCTACAAAATAATCAGATAATTATAATATGAATTAAATAAAGTCAAGTGCCTGTTAACTTTCCTCTGAGAAGAACAAACAGTGCTTTGTTTGGAACATTTGGCACATGAATTTTGTTTACCATGCTCAGTTCCTCCTTTAACGTTCCATCTCATTTTCTCTCACGCAGCTTGTGCTGGATGCTGAAACTGTATGTCTGCCCAAGTTGGTTCGGGGAACTGGGGGTCCCTCTGGCAGCTCGCAGAGACTCTATGAAATCTGTGCTTGTCCAGATGGGAAACTTTACCTGTCCGTGGCTGGTGTGGGTACCACATGCCAGGAAAACAGCCAGGTCTGTCTCTAAACCATCTGCATCTTCCACAGAGTACACAGATTTTCAGAGAGCTTGAAGTTCTTGACTTTGAGACTTCAAACTTGGAAAGCAGTTTTATATCCTGTAAGACTGGGACTGGATGGAAAGAAGCACCCACTTTTAAAAAGAACTCAGAAAGAAAAACATAACAACGAAAATGTTTTGGACAAAACTATGTGGTTTCAAAGTGGCATGTGGATGTTAGACAAACAAGTTGTCAAAGGAATGTGTTTATTCCACTGAGTTGATAAATTTTCATCAGAACAATTAATAAATGGTGACTTTTCTTTTCCTCATCTTTTGTGTACGTAAATGTACAATGAAATGTTGAGTTGCTATGTGGAATTAATTTATGATGGCCAACTGTGAATATCTAACTCTTCATCAAAGTAATGTTGATAACTACTACAGGACTCCAAAGTCCCATGCAGGGTTTGCTTTAAATCACTCAAATCTGTGAGCAAGTTCTCCCTTGAGTATAATGCAAAGTGTGTCAGATTTCGTGACACACTTTCAGGTTTTGAATATACATTGAGGTTGATCTGATTTTTAGTATGTAATCAAAGGAATACATTACATAAAATGAATCACGGTTTATGTATAGTCAATGAGCAATAAATCAACCTACATTTTTCACAGACTTCACCAGTTTAAGAGTGTGTCTGTCTTTCTTTAATCCTCACAACCACCTTTTGAGGTAGATATGATTTTTCCTCAAGTTACTGGTAATAATATGAAGGTCCAAATAGGACAAGTCACTTATGCAATCACAAAATATCTACTGAAATTAAACTGTGACCCTAAACTTGCATAGCCCTTTTCATTTTGCACAATTTCGACGTTGTCTCATTCTATCCAAAGCAACAATCTATGTGATAATTCTGTAGATATGATAATACTCATTTAACAAATGAAGAACTGAAGTCCAGAGGGGTTTTGTCATCCAACATCAAATGGCTATTAAGTGGTGGGACTCCTAACTGCCCAGCCTTTGTACCTATCACAATAGTCAAAACGATTTTCATTTAACTTCCTAGAACCAGACTCTCACAGTTGTTGAAAATAATACATAGTGCCAATTGTTAGTATAAATTCCTACAGAAATCAAACAGGATACTATGAACCTATGAAAACAGATGAGTTTTGTGTAAGCCACTCACTTTGTCAAACGCCCTTCATCACAAAAGTGGTAGGCTTTATTTTTGTTTTTAAACCAGTTGTTAATAATTCAGAATCCCAAAACAACTCAAGACGTAGTAGGACCAACAGCATTGCACAGTTTTAATTATAGGATTTATCTCTAAACACAAGTTCAAATTCATTTTCTACAGTCTCATAACAGGAGAAAGCAGAAAAGTCAACTCTTCATTTTTAATGCTGTTTTGATGAGGCCCAGTTGTTAACAACGCCCCAGTTTTTAAATTGCTAGTATGCGTAAACACTTGAAATTGCAAAATAAATAGTGCCTCCTAAGCAGTTAAGGGCAAGTTCAACTCTAAACTTAATACGCCTCAAGTTTCCCAGGGAGTTAGCACTTTTAGATAATAAATTGCTATTCACTTTTTCCATTTAGTTAACCCTTGATTTTTTAAATGAATGACTTCTTTCTTACTATGGCATTCCAATTAAAATATATGAAATTGTCTCTTTTTATTTACTTTTTGTCACATTTACTCTCTTGTTCCAATATTTTAGTTGTGCAAAACAATGTCTGAAAGCCTGGTTGATATAAAATAGGATCACCATGGAACACTGAAACATTACAAATTAACTTGGTTCTCATAATGCACATCAAAAAAATGGTGCTCAGATGATAAAGTCAAGAAAAAGTATCAAGGAGAAAGCATGGAGAATAGAACCTTTTGAATAAGCCTTAGTTTTTTGCTCACTATATGGAATCAACTTGGAAAAGCTACTATGGATAGCTGCCTTCTCCAGAGTAATAAAGGAATTATCCTTGGTAAGAATCAAAACTTTTAGATAGGCTATATTCTAAAATGTATTACATAAACCTGTCTTCTTACACACATACAACATAACTGAAAGTTTACTTGAAGGTTCAAGGTCAGGAGTACGAACAATACCTAATGAGGTGTATGGAGCCCTGGTGGTGCAGTGGTTATGAGCTTGGCTGTTAAGCAAAAAGCTGGCAGTTCAAATTCACCAGCCACAACTTGGAAACCCTATGGGGCAGTTCTATTCTGTCCTATAGGGTCGCTATGAGTTGGAATCAACTTGACGGCAATGGGTTTTTTGGTTTTAATGAGGTATATAGACTGCTACTCCTTTATACTAAGTGGTTATGCATTGAGTGTTGGTATTTTAGGGACCCAAAATATAGCACTTATATCTTTTCAAATTTATGGACAAACTAAGCAAACATAGTCAAAATGGTGAAGATCAAAATAACAGCTTTGATAGCAAAAACAGTTTGGTTTGCAGCCACATGGACTCCCTAAGACTTCACAACTGATTAAAACCTTACCTCCCAGTCACAGGCAGATGGCAGGCCTCCCCTGCCCATGTAGCTGACTCCATGAAAGAGTATAGACAGCCACTCTTTCTGATGTCAGACAAATCAAAGTAAAAGGAAGGGGTGAGCCCACATGCTCAGGACCTTCTCCCAGATCCCTTTGGGGAGTCATGACTGAGAAGCCCGGAGGCAGTCCCCTCACACTAAGGTTTTTAGGTTGTGTCTACTTGATACAACTTTTTGTCCCCTTCCTCCTCTGATTTAAAACATCACTTCTCACTTGGCCTTACCAGTCTTCTTATTTTAAATCCCACTCTGAATTTTCTGTGCTTTGGAAACCAAATAATCACGCTTCTTAGAACTTTGTGTCAAGTATAAACAGGTCACACGGGTCTAAGGCACTAAGTAAAAATGCACAGACAGCAACTTCAACGCTGTCTTCTAGACCTGGACTTTGATTTCAGAGCAAGAGTACTTCCAGAGCCACTTAACTATAAGAGATAAGCATACATTTTAAACATGTAATCCATAATCTTTATTTTAAAATGACATTGGCTTTAGTGCTATTCAGTATGCAACTAGACTACTAACATAAAGGTTGGAGGTTTGAACCCACCCAGCAGCTACACAAAGAAAGGCCTGGCAATCTGCTTCTGTAAAGATTGTAAGAAAACCCTGTGGGGCAGTTCTACTCTGTAACACATGGGGTCACCATGAGTCAGAATCAACTTGAAGGCAATGGGATTTTATTTATAGTGTTGATGTATTCCACTTAGTATGGATATTTAGAAGTTTCACTGCAGAATTATTAATGTGTTTGATGACAAGGTGATTCCTGACCCTGCTGGGAGCATTTCATAAGAGAGTTATACACACTTGTATTAACTTTCTGAAATCCCTCTGGATCCAAGTTTTACATAGGGGACTGTGAATCTGTATTTAAAAACAAAAGTCTAGAAAAACACAAAACTCCAATTAATTTGATCAGCTATCACAAAGGCCAGACTAGGCTTTCTGTGTCAATTTTAACATCCAAAAACAAATGTTAAATTTTTGCTTCAAAGTTAAAAGGAAGTCTCAGAAAGTTGAAGATCCAGAATTTATATAGTCCCATTATAAGAGAACTCTTAGTCCTTGTCTGCCTAACTTTGAAGACTTGAGCCTCAAGTATAAAGATGAACATTTAATATCTTTTGTGGCTCAAGTCTGAATTAGCCTCAGACATGCAACTCAGCTCTCTAAGAGATCCATTTATTTAAATGTATCTATTTACAAATACTTAAATATACCATCTATATCAACTAATCTTATTCCTTGAAAAAGTGAAGTAAAATAAACTCTTAACTAAATCAATGAGCACCTAATAAACCTAGTATATACCAAAGACTTGATGGTCAATTATTTGCAAAACATAAACCTACTAAAATTTTGGCATAAAGATATATAAGCAAGTTCTAATATTTCCAGTAAACACACATATTACACATACACACACATCACACTTTAATACAGGGAGATACCAAGTTTAATTTCCAATGAACTCTCTCTCAGGAAATACCAGTTACAAGGATTTCATATGTACATTTTACTTTATTAAAATTATGGCACTTAATATAACAGCAGAAATAATTACATGGCTTCACATCCAGAAGCAGTACAATTTTGGAGGAGCACACATTCCTATTACCAATAAAAGTAAAAAAAAGTTTTAACATATTCCTTAAGCCCTTAATTGCATAAAATATTTAGCATCATTTATAGCCAGTACACTTATATAAACTAATTATCATTCTTTCTTTTACATTCTGCAGAAGAAACATGTTAATGATGAAAATTAAATGTCAGTTCTGAATCATTCATGGGGAAAATACAAGCTCATAATTCCTCTTTTAAAAATAACTGGATAACTGTCAAATTTTACAATTTTTTAATGTTCTCCAAGTAAAATCCAAAAAACCCCAGCAAGTGCCATATTGAAAGTCAACTTTTTTTTAACTGCAGCACCGTTAAGACATGAAACAAAAGATTGCATTCTGTTCAACCACACTACATAAATTATGACACTTGTGGAAAATACGCACACACAAACATAAAGCAGGTGTTCTAACAACTGATAAACGTTATTTTGGTAGGCAGTTTTCAGAAACAGTATTAACATCTGGTTGTAAGAACTGCCACCATTTTGAGTTTCCCATATGCTATCTCCAGGAAATAAGAAGCCTGTAAACATAAGGTGTAAAAAACATTTAAAATAAAGATGCAAAGTGCACTCAGTGCACTCTAAGAAGTACTATCTGCATACTCTTAATCAAGTAATATTCAGGATTAAAATACTGTACCATTTTTTAAATACGCTAAGATGTAAAATTGCAATAAATTCATAATCAGATCCAGCTGATAAGAAAACAATGCATCCAAATAGGATCCACTTAAAAAAAATGATAAACTCCAAAGACTTAACTCCCCTTGTTTAAATCAATGATATGTCCAGTGTTTCATTAGCTCCTTCAAAAACAGC